AAGGACAGGACACTTTACAAACGTGTTGTTGATGGAGGACATGCATAGCTTTTTAAGTCCTACGAATCGCCACAGCCCTTCGGGATCCACCCTCAGAGAATGACTCGACCGACAGGTAGCAGACTACCTTGCCTTAACTGCAGATATCGACACTCTGAGGAGCGATGAACCCCTTCACTACTGGGTGTGCAGGCTTGACCTGTGGCCTGAGCTATCCCAATTTGCGATAGAACTTCTGGCACTGTTTTAGGGCACTTTCTGCCTGGGAAACAAACATCAATTCTTCTGGCCGCTGCTACAGCAGCGGCTGCAACAATACCTAATTTTTCAGGCATGTGTACATGCCTAATTTTTCGGGCCTCTGGTGCTGCACTGTGGTTTCAAAAACCAAACCAAAAAAAAGGCACATAACAGGGATTAAACTGATAAGAATAATACTACTTAACACACCTTATAATAACGCAGAGAGAGGCAACGCAGAGAGAGGAGTCTGAAGAAGAGGAGTCAGAGGAGGAAGGTGGCTTTGAGGAGGTGGAAGACCAAACACAGCAGGCGTCCCAGGGGGCTTGTTGTCACCTTTCGGGGACCCTTGGTGTTGTACGTGGCTGGGTGGAGGAAGAGACCTCCAATGACATCAGTGAGGGCAAGGAACGGGACATGGCTAGCTTGGTATCCAACCTTGTGCAAATGGGGAGTTTGCGGTTGTGCAAATGTACTGTTTGCGGTTGTTTGCGGTGCGTTAAATGGGGAGTTTGGTCTGTCACTGTGAAGCGGGCGTAACCCTTACACTACCTGATCGATACAACATCATACAGTAGGTCCCCCCCCTCATTATTTTTATGTGAGCGGTGGGTGGGGGCGGGCGGGAGGACAGTATGTCCCCCCCCCCATTGAGATTTATGGCCCCCACCCAACATGCAGGGGTGGGGGCCGGGGAGGAGGACAGCAGGTCCCCCCTTATCCGTATTTACTGAATATTCCCCTGTATAACAATGTTTGGCATTTAGTGAATATTCCCTATTCTGCTCTGTGTCAGTGTGTATCAGGGGCTCTGAGGACAGGTGTCAATCCATATCTGCCAAGTGACCCTATGTAGCAGGAACAGTCTCTATTCTGCTCTGTGTCAGTGTGTATCAGGGGCTCTGAGGACAGGTGTCAATCCATATCTGCCAAGTGACCCTATGTAGGGGGAACAGTCTCTATTCTCCTCTGTGTCAGTGTGTATCATGGTCTCTGAGGACAGGTGTCAATCCATATCTGCCAAGTGACCCTATGTAGGGGGAACAGTCTCTATTCTGCTTTCTGTCAGTGTGTATCATGGTCTCTGAGGACAGGTGTCAATCCATATCTGCCAAGTGACCCTATGTAGGAGGAACAGTCCCTATTCTGCTCTGTGTCAGTGTGTATCAGGGTCTCTGAGGACAGGTGTCAATCCATATGTCAAGGTGTCAATATGTCATATGTCAGGTGTCAATCCATATCCATTGTGATTTAGGAATGTTAGGTGATTTATGCCCTTTATGGATTAAGACCAGACTCTGCATCATCTGTGTAATTTTCCATGGGAGTTTTGCCATGGATCCCCCTCCGGCATGCCACAGTCAAGGTGTTAGTCCCCTTGAAACAACTTTTCCATCACTATTGTGGCCAGAAAGAGTCCCTGTGTGTTTTAAAATTCGCCTGCCCATTAAAGTCTATGGCGGTTCGCCCGGTTTGCCGGTTTGCGAACATTTGCGGAAGTTCTCGTTCGCCGTTCGCGAACCGAAAATTTCGGGTTCACGACATCACTAATCACAATTTCATCGTCATTCTGAAGTTCTTTTATAGCTTTACGTTCATTTTGTGTCAAATTCTGATAATTATATTTATTGTGTTTCATTTTTTAAAATCATTTAGAACCAATTTCTCAACGACTTCTATGGGTCCTGATTTGAAATTTGAAGGATAAAACCTGCTACATCGGAGCACGCATTTGCCCAAGAATCCTAGGTGGGGATAATACCACCTACGCCATTATATTGAGCAGTATATCGTGCTCATATATATGTGAGTATTTTACCGCTTTTACTTTTTTACCTTCTCATTAATTCAGTGAGCACTATATTGTTTTTTCATCTCTCTATATACCAAGGAGCTCATCATATCTTCACCACCTATATCCTACCAGTGGAGGATCAACGCCACTGGATGCTATTATCACTTGAGCTAGTTTATGCTCAGAAATAGGTGAGTGGATCATTTGTTGTGAGAATTTTTTATCTACCAATTTGTCGATTTGCAATCTGCACTATTGGAGTTTCTCTGTTTCTCTTACATGTTCATACACCCACTATCGAACTGAGATACCTCCAACATAAGAAGACCCAGCTACCTATTGGACTCTTTCTATACTCAAGCACTTTCACAGGTTTTATTAAAGACTTTTCAGCACTGCGATTATTTTTCCTGTTTATTTATATATTTGTCTCACTCCATTTACTTTTTCGTCTATTATCATATTGCGCAACCTATATATTTTCTTTTTATGTGTGTGTATGGACTCAGCAGTCTGTGTATGTGTGTGTATGGACTCAGCAGTCTGTGTATGTGTGTGTGTGTATGGACTCAGCAGTCTGTGTCTCTGTGTGTATAGACTCAGCAGTCTGTGTGTGTGTGTGTGTGTGTGTATGGACTCAGCAGTCTGTGTGTTTGTATGTGTGTGTGTGTTTGTATGGACTCAGCAGTCTGTGTATGTGTGTGTATGGACTCAGCAGTCTGTGTATGTGTGTGTGTGTGTGTATGGACCCAGCAGTCTTTGGGTGTGTTTGTATGGACTCAGCAGTCTGTATGTTTGTCTCTGTGTGTGTGTATGGACTCAGCAGTCTTTGTGTATGGACTCAGCAGTCTCTGTGTGTGTGAGGACTCAGCAGTCTGTGTGTGTAAGGACTCAGCAGTCTGTGTGTGTGTGTGTGTGTGTGTGTGTGTGTGTGTGTGTATGGACTGTATCAAGGAAAATGTGTTTGTTTTTTAATAATCCTTGGTGGAAAATAATGAATTCTCCACCAGGGATTATGAAAAAAAACAAAAAACACATTGTGTCGGGGGCGGGGTTTAACATGCGGTAGGGGCGGGGTCAAACTGCGGCAAGGGCGGGGTTAAATGTGCCCCCCTACTTTTGTCCCTGGCCCTCCATGTGCCTCCCATAAAAATGAATCCTAGAGACGCCACTGCCCAGGGGAAACCTTTGGTCAGTTTGCCTTTGAGTGCCACCATCTGAGAGCTACCTTTACCTTGGATGCACTAATACACAAGTATGTCCCGTCTAGGTCCTAACGCTCTGCGGCAGACTTAAGTCTATCTTCTGTCCGTACTCGCACCTCTGATGCTCGCCTTCAAGACTTTTCCAGGGCTGCACTGTTCCAGTGGAACTCACTTCCCTCCTCTGTTAGATGCTCACCCAGTCTCCACTCCTTCAAAAAATCATAAAAGCCCCATTTCTTCATATTAATTAAACTGTTAATAGCACCTGACTGATTCCTCTCTTGCAACTGTCATTAGTCTAATACTAACCTTACCTTTTGTGTCACTTTACCCAACTCCATCTAGCATGTAAGCTCATTGAGCAAGGCCCTCAACCCCTCTGTTCCTGTGTGTCCAACTTGTCTGGCTACAACTACATGTCTGTTCGTCCACCCACTGTAAAGCGCTGCAGAATTTGTTGGCGCTATATAAATAATAACATAATAATAATAATGATGAATGGGCTGGTAGAAATCCAGATGCTTGTAAAATACCAGGAAGGATCTTTGAGGTATCTGGATATGCCATTGAGCACCTTAGGTAAGGCCTATAGTGGATGAAAGTGACCCCAGGATGATCATGTAAGATCTTGCTGTGATTTTGTGTGGAATAGTGGAAGATACCGTTCTTCCTGATTTCTGCAATCAGGGAAACAAGGACTTTGGAGAACACCCTGGGTGCTGGGCCAAATGGAAGCTTCCTGAACTGTCAGTGTTTGTTGTTCAGACAGAATCTCAGGAGCTTTTGATGTACATTGGCGATTGGGATGTGGAAATAGGCATCCTTGAGATCGATGGAAATTAACCAGTCACCTAGAGATACTGCCTGGTTGATGAAGGCTAATGATTCCATCCTACATCATCTGGCACACATTAGGGGATTGAGGATGGACAAATCCAGGATTGCCCTCAAAGGATCCTTGCCTTTTGGTGCCAGAAAAAGCCTTGAGTAGAATCCTTGAAATCGTTCTTCTTAGGGTACTTGGCAGATTAACAATTGTTGGGACAGAGAATCTATTAATTTCTCGAAGTGCCCTTCTTTTGCTTACATGTTCTGTAAATGAAGACCCAAAGAGTTTTCTTGAATGAGGTCTCTCCTTCTATCTGATAACCATGGAAGACCACCTCCTGGACCCACAGATCCTTGATGGTGTGGTTCCAAGTCTCTGAGAAATGAAGCAGTCTGGTGCCTATTCCTGGAGACTGAGCTTGAAAGCAGTCAGAACCTTTTATACTTGCGGGCAGATGACCCTCTGCCCCTACAACCTCTATGAGAGGATTGACCGGCCTTCCATAGCTGGCTCCAAAAGGACTGTCTTCCATGTCTGTATTGCCTTGAGTCTCTGAATTACCTCCTGTCAGCATTAGATGATCTTATGTTGCTCCTGGTGCATGGCAATAAGGCTTTACTGCCTTCTACAGCCTTTTTGATGCACTCATTCAGGTGACATCCGAAAAGCATATCACCCTGAAAAGGTAGTGAGCAGGCACTATTCTTGGATGTGGTGTCTGCATCCCAGGTCTTAAGCCAGAGTGCTCTACGGCCAGCACCATTCATCGACCTAGCTATGGAGTGTACATGATCCACAAAGGCATCGGAGCAAAAATCTGCCGCTGGAGTACTGTCTAACACAGCTCTAATGAGATGTGATTTACTCACTCCATCCTTAATGAGAGCTTTCAGATCCTCTGCCCATTGTTTAAAGGTCCTACAAACTGAAGTTAAGGTAGCTGCTGGGTGCAGACTAGCTCCTGCTGCAACGTAGGCCTTAGAAAGATGAGTATCATAGGTATCATAGGTTCTCTCAAAGAGCTAGAGTCATCCTGAGGCAAGATGGTCTTCTTTGCCAGTCTGACTACTGATGTGTCCAACTTGGGAGGCAGAGTCAGCTTTCTTGAATTATTATATCTTAACCACTTACCCTGAAAATTCACCTGTTTCTCAGACTTACCCCATTCATCATTAATAAGGGTCTTGATTGATTCATGGAGGAGAAAAGCTGTTTCTTTTCTCTTGAAACTAGCAATGTGCTTGCTGCATGAGGGCTCTTGAACAGAGAATTCCTCCAAACTCTTTCTTACCGCCTCAATGAGAACTTCAATTTTACTTTTATCAAACCCTCCTGAATATGGGAACTCCTCATCATTAAATGACTCTGGGTATTCAGTAGGTAAATTACTCTTCTCATAGGAGTCCTCCATAGAGCTCTCACTGTCAGAGATCTCTCTCCTCCTATGCTTAGTATGCCTCGTAGACTGAGTGGCTTCTTTGACACCTTCTGCCACAGCCTGCTTGATGATGGAAATCACATCTGCTGGATTTGCAATTGCAGGATGAGCTACTGGTGGTTCAGCAACCTGTTTCATGCAGGCTATGCTAACCCGTTTCCCTTCTGCCGCCACATTGTCACATGCATTGCACCTATTAAACCTGGAAAAAGAGGATCTTCTTGGATACATGGGGAATAGACATAATAAAATAATGACAGAAGGCACTCTTTTGAGCCAAAATTGAAGTAATATTTATTTTATTTTTGCAAAAAAATATTTGACATACTTTGTACCTTATTTTCTTGGCTGATGAGGCCATAAGGATACTATACATGAGCAGCTGGAAAAATACCGCCCATTAGTGACTAATATCCAGACAAAAAAAAACCTTGCAATTCATCTAATGCAAGTTAAAAATAACCATAAGGAATTCCACAAATAAGAAGTACTTACCTGATTGCACAAAAAGGAAAACCAAAAAGATCTGCAGATATCAGAGCTATGTATAGCTTTCAGGACAAATAACATCAATTTGTCTCCAGATTCAATAGAAAAACAAACAAACATTTAAATGAGGAAAAAAAAAAGTGGAACGAAATTGGCGAATTCAACCGAATTTGACCGAAAATGGCCCAACTCAAAGGTCACATCTGGCAAAGGTCACCTGACTCGGAAGCTCTTACTGTGAGGCAATGGTAAAAAACAAATAAGAGAGCGCAAAGATACGAGTTATAAGAATACAATAGGGTATATTGAATCCTATATGACCAAGCTGACAGATACTTTAAAAACCTTCCCAAGTTTTAAAAAATTCTACAAGAATAAACAAAAATATTAGTATCGGCGCTTAGCAGATAGTCCCTTAATTAGCAGATGCAGGGGCAGAGATTATTAACCTCTTAGTCTGATAATAGATATTATATATTCAATGTCCCAGAGTAATTGTAAAAATAGAGATATATCCAAAAATCCGTATTAATTAAGGATATCTCCACGTTGTGAGGGGAATTTTGCTGGTAAGAGAATAGTCTATGACTTCTCTGGCTGTGTTCCGTATCGTCTGCTGTGTTACTGTATCCAACCTTGAAAAAAGGATACTAACATAGTGTAAAAATCTAACGGTTTATTTCCCAAGCATAAAAAAAACCCTACATAAAAATTCTTACAGGAAAATGTAGTGAGACTTATTTCTAAGTATCACAGATAAAGCATTAGTACAATACTGTGTACTCGCCGGTTGAAGATAGAAAACTGCTCCGCTGGTGTCAATGTGCTGATCGGTTCTGTGCACTTGAACCGATCCTGCTGCAGAGAAGCCAGCTGTCAAGTCCTACCGTATTGGAACTCTTAGATTCAAAAAAGACAATCTCGCCAGAATCATCAGATTGTCTCTTCTATTCAAAAAAGATAATCCCGCCAGAATCATCAGATGATTCTGGCGGGATTATCTTTTTTGAATCTAAGACAACCAATACAGTAGAAGTTGACAGCCGGCATCTCTGCAGCAGGATACATATATTTTGTCCTGATTGACGTTTCCACCAAGGCGGATCTTCCTCAAGATCAAGTGTACAGTGCAAGTAATACAGTTATATAGTAAATGTGTAAATTAACTTACCAATTGCAGAGTGTGTGCTGCCCGATCTCCTTCAAACCCAGAAGTGCACAGATGGGACACGTGACATGCGTGAGTAACGTGGTTGCTAAGATACAAGACAACAGTGAATACGTGCGGTGCCCGATCCCGTGTTCTTTACAAGTGGAACTAAAAAGTACTGAATAAATTTATCTTACAGAGCATAAAACTACAAGTAACAACTATAATGCTCTGTATTTGCACAAATATTTTGAGACTTGTGTGTGTATATATTTATCAGCTTGGCACTCTCCTTTCTCTTTTTTTCTCATATCTTATTTTTATTGATATCAACCAACAAGATAAAATCACATCATCAACATGTCTTATGTGGCATGACATAAGTTTTCCAAACATACAAGCAGTCTTTAATATGCATAATTGTAGACAGTTGATAGGACAACAAGCATCTATTCAGTTCCTTCCTTTGCTGCATCCACAGTTTACAATACAATTTATGATGCAACATTTTAAAGCCAGTTTGCTGCTTATTTACTTTTCATAATGGTAAGAAAGGGTGAGGGGAGAGAAGGGGAAGAAACAGAAGTAGTAATATTAGCAAAATTTCACATTTACATGCTGCAACTTGAATACATGGTAATTTGCATCAGGTTGAGATGGAGATTTGCTAACATGTCATTGTGTAATACTCTTCAGAGGTAGATTCACTACCCGTAGTGGTCTGTCTGTGATCTCATCACTCCTGGTGCACACAGCCACGGCACCTTCACTACTGGGAACCTGATAGTCCGATAGCCTAGAGGGCCGATATCCATGTTTCTCCTCTGAAATATCCAGCCTCCCTATGCTCGATCGTGTTTACCCATACAGCCCTGTAGTCTATAGGCCATTTGTTCAGAGAGGCAAATAGTGTCTAGTTGGTTGGAAATTGCTATTAAAGATTGAATTGTTTTGCTTTTCAAATGAAATGTGATGCTGTGTCTGTTGTCCATGAGTGGTTTACTGGCTTTGTTCCTCTTCCTGAGTTGTGTTTCAAAGCTGTTGTATACAGCAGACACATACTCCAAGGAATCCATGTATAAAGTGGAATTATGAGGCACAAATGTGGTTCTTTGTTGAGCTCATTTGCATATGCCTACCCAGAATCCCTTGCAGGAGTGAGAGCACTGTTAGATTTCTGTGCACAGTTAGATTTCTGTGGGAAAAGGAAGTCTTATGGCTTGACTGGTGTGTGTATTTGTGTTTAGAAATGTATTAACTATATAAATATAAATAAATATATACATACACTGAACAAAATTATAAACGCAGCACTTTTTTTTTTTTGCCCCATTTTTCATGAGCTGAACTCAAAGATCTCAGACTTTTTCTATCTACATAAAGGCCTATTTTTCACAAATCTGTCTTAGTTAGTACTTCTCCTTTGTCGAGATAACCCATCCACCTCACAAGTGTGGCATATCAAAATGCTGATTAGACAACATGGTTATTGCACAGGTGTGCCTTAGGCTGGCCACAATAAAAGGCCACTCTAAAATGTGCAGTTTTATCACACAGCACAATCTGGCCATCATTGTGTTCTATTACCACACCGCTACATTTGTTAAAAATGAGAATAATGTAATGTTTAACAGGACAAATGTTTAAAATCATACCTGGTGCATCTCAAAACCACCATTTGGTACAAAAAAAAAAAGCATTATACCTGACACAAAGGTAGTCTTCAACTCATAAATGCTCTATAAGTAGTCAGGCAGAGAACCCATATTATCTTAACCGGACTACTTGATAAATATGATCATAAATATTTTGCGTGAGCAGAAACCTCCACACCCCCACAAAGTTTGAGGCCACGATTTATGGGAGACGTTTTCCAAATGAGATTTATTTGTATTTTCTAAATAGGATTCTTCCCACTGCAGACAAATGAGCCTCCAAAAAGTGCTGCAGGGTGTGACAAAAATGCATCCAAATCAAATCAGTATGTTGATGTCCTTCCTGTGCTTCTGTGCATGGTCACGGTATTAATAATTGTTTCAGAGACTACAAATTACTTGTAGACTATTCTGTTATTCTTCCATTTAGATATCTCTGAGAGGAAGAACATTTTAAAAGCTTCCTTTTTTTATTTTTTATTTTATTTTTTGTGCCAATAAAGCACTACCCATTCATTTGAAAAAAAAAAAATGCAGCATTTAAAATAAACAGATGAAAAAGATTACCTCTAGCTAACAGGACACGTTTTTTTGTGAGCATGTTTTCATTTCTGAGCTCCTAGAATTTCTCAAAATCACAGACAGGCCCAGCATTGAAAATTCCAAGTTTGCATAATCCAAAAAAAAACAATAAATAAAAATAAATATTCATAAAAAAAAAAAAAAAAGATTTCCTCTTATATCAGCACGTAAAAGTAGTTAAAAAAAAAAAACCTCATTACCGTAAAATTCTGCTGTAAAAATATATTGTACTCACAGGAATCCTATAGCTAATGAGATGGTCCAAGTTGAAAGAACCAATAATCCATTTTAAAAATCCAAAAATGTGTTTACCCACATGGGGTGTATATAAAAAAAAATGATGTCACACAAATCTTCTAAAGAGATGAAGAATGTTTCCAGCAGTGACAGGTACAATAACCACCAAAATATATCTACAAATTGTATGTGTTTATAAAGTATCAGGAGCTATAAAACGTAAAGTGTTAAACCTATGTTTATGTACCCGTGTGCTAGCATAATATTTTGTATTAAATATTAAACTAAAAGCACACAACAAATTTCCATAAACTATCGGCATAGTGGTAATGTGATCAAAAGACAAGCAAACACAAAGACAACACAAAGTCCTCTTTTCAAGGAACCAAAATAAAGGTTTTCTTTGTTATTTCAAATATTTGCTTGGTATCTATAGTTAACCCCCCTCCCATTTAGGATACTGACTTACCGGATGCATGTAAGCCAAAATGATCCTGTAGCTACATATGAACTCACACTCATCACTCCACCGATAATAATGTCCCCACTTTTAAAGTAATCAAGATCTTCGGATGACTGTATTAGTTGTAGGCTGCATGCGGTGTCTGAATTGCTGCTCACGGGTGTAATGTAAAGGATTATCAGACAGAGAAACACCTTATAAGAATTAGATAAAGTTGGAAATCTTAATATCATTTTATCAGATAATAGGCTATAACTTAACAGAATGTATATAAGTAGAGATGTTCCAGAGTCATAATGCATCACATCAGACAATGAAGCATTCAGCATTTGTGTGCAGTAAAGTGAGCCCACACCATCTAACTCACTTTATATAGATAGTTAGTCATAAGCCTCAATCATTGTAAAATTATTAATATACATTGCACTTGGGATCACTAGTGCAATTCTTGTTCTGTGTTACAGAAGGCCAATAAAAATACATTTGAAGATAAATTCAGTAATCGGTATAATGTCCCTCATCTCACCTGCATCCAGTCCCTTATGAATTATGGCTATTAGTTCATAACTTAAAGTAAAAATGTTCACTTAATGAAAAACAACAATTTGATTTTTTTTTTCTTTCTACCATTAGCGACCTTATTTTGATGGAGTTG